TGAACGCGATCATCATTTACACAAAATGATCTTTAAAAAGTATGACCTTAAAATGAGTTGGATGTTGGCTATTATATCTGAACAAAGAATAAATGAATGATAACTGCTAAGATTCATTTATGCACTATTATAACATATATTGATATTGTATAACTACGAAGTGACTGTATTATGTGTATATCCATGTTCCCTTTATTATAAGCTTCTATTTGATCTATTGACTACTTTTATACGATTTACTTTCTTTAAATGGCTAGCGTTGTTTTAGCAATGTTGTTTTCTACAGGATGGTGTTCGTGACCCAATCCCCAACCCTCCTTTTTTACCCGGTCTTGGAACCGACAGTAATCATAGAGGAGCTACAGGTAGAGTTATATGATTTACTATTCTTGAATTAATTCTCATTTATTATTTAAAGTCTCTCACACTCACAGTCACTTTCGGGCTTGATCTTGTTTAATTCTTATTTCTTATATTTAATGGTGTGGTGCGATCTGGTTTGGTTGTTTATAAACTATGTATGTGTTAAATATAGGATTCATACAGTGGAAGCTGATTATTGTGCTCTGAACAGTAGTACTGACTTGATGCTGGTATTGAAGATTCACACTTTGATATTGGTTGAGAGACAGTTGTTTTGAGTTCCATATGTTCTTCAACTGAAGGAATGCGGTTCTTGCTTCGCCAATCCTCGCCTTTATGTCTGCATCTGATCCTTCCTGTTAATCGATTATGCTTCTCATGTATGTGAAGGATTTTACATCTTCCAGAGTTTCGCATCATCGATGAACAAGGAGGCTCAGATGCAGACGTAAAGGCGAGGATCCGTAAAGCAAGGCTCGCATTCCTACAATTGAAGAACATATGGAACTCAAAACAACTTTCAACCAATATCAAAGTGAGAATCTTCAATACGAACGTCAAGGCAGTTCTACTGTATGGAGCTGAAACTTGGAGAACTACAACAACCACAATCAAGAAAGTACAAGTATTTATAAATAGCTGCCTTCGCAAGATACTCAACATCCATTGGCCGGATACCATCAGCAACAGCCTTCTGTGGGAGAGAACAAAGCAACTTCCAGCTGAAGAGGAAATTAGGAAAAGACGATGGAAATGGATAGGACATACATTACGCAAATCGTCAAACTGCATCACGAGGCAAGCCCTAACTTGGAATCCTGAGGGGAAGCGAAAAAGAGGAAGGCCAAAGAACACATTGCGTCGGATAATAGAAGCAGATATGAAAACGATGAATTACAACTGGACGGAGCTAGAAAGGATTGCCCAGGACAGGGTTGGATGGAGAACGCTGGTGAGCGGCCTATGCTCCTTCACGAGGAGTAACAGGCGTAAGTAAGTAAGTAAGTAAGTAAGAGTTTCGCAATCAAGTGTGATTGAATTGCTGTTCTCCGTGTTGTATTTGAGGACCTTAGTTTTCCCTTGTGTATGTTGAGGCCTACTGATACAGAGACTGCAGCTACACTGGCTTTCTTTATCTACATGTGTTCATATGTATGCGATAGAAGGGTTAGGTCATCTGCGAAGTACAAATCGCCTAATTGGTTCTGAGATGTCCATTGTATGCCATGTTTTCCCTCAGATGTCGAGGTCTGCATAATCCAGCTGACCACCAGAAGAAAGAAGGAGGCGGAGAGTAGACCTTCTTGTCTGACTCCGTCCTGACTTACTTACTGGATGTAATATGTCGGCTTTTTAAACTGTACTATATTATTCACCATACCTGTTAACAACTAATCGATTGTGACATTAAAAAAAACATGAGAGTGATTTACCTCAAAAATTAAAGTAGGATATTGTTGGTACATTATTGATCAATAGAAGATTTAAACTAATAATCACCGGGTTACTAACTTAAAGCTATATCCAAAGAATTAAACCATTTTGTGACTATACAGCAATTATCCTGTGCTATTTTTCATTGTAACACTTGTAATCGTTTATGGGTATCGGTTAAATGGTTGTTTAGTTCGATCTCTACCACCTCAGTTTATCGCTTATGTTAGTTCATAGAATAAGTTTCAATATCCAGGAGGCAAGACGTGGATGTATGAGTTGGGTTTCACCTCCCAATGATTAACTTACTACTTTCATTAACTGATCACTAAACTAAACAGGATTATTTGAAGATGTATAAGTGTTATAATAATAGTTAAAATATTATAGAATTTTAAGTAAAATGTTACAATTCAGTTGTATGTCAATGCTGAAATAAGCCCTTTACATGTGAAACTATGATTGACATAACACATGACTTTTATTTAGAACGTATATACTACTATATATGACAGAAATTATACATCTTTATGTATACATCCTTGTATATGTGTATGTATTACAGGAAAAGGTAATATGTATTACATTGGTTTATTATCTTGATTATGTAATTTTATAAAAGTACAATTTGTTGTACTATTGTTAAGAAGAAAAAAAGTTCTCTTACAGTTGAAACTACTGTAGTGAACAAGAACACGAGGGGGATGATAATCGGATATACTGGGATATAAAATTATAGAACGCCTTACCATAATCTGAGAATCATACAGTAAATACTTCATTTGCAAACTAACAATCCATCGTCTCAGAATTCATTGTTCCAATTGTTTTCTGTTCTCGTTTTTTCCTTTTCGATTTTCCACTGAAATACATTGTATTCCTAACTATGGTAATATACTACTACTTATGTGTATATAAGTAGTAGCGCACATAACACTACATTTGATATAAAGTAATTGAAAGAAATGAATAAAATATTTGAAAAGATACTAAAGTAGCTGATTCATTCACTTAATTATGTATATATATGTACATTTTAATCCTGTTCATTGACGTGCTCATTCGACTCGCATGCTTACTCGCTTGCCTCCTAGCTTATCGGCTCTACTATTTCATGTTTCCTTTATAAACATGTAATTTTGGCCCTGGGTTCGAATCTCCCGGGCAGGATCGTGGATGTGCACTGCTAAGGAGTCCCACAATAAGATTAAATGGCCATCTAGTGCTTCCAGGTTTCCAACGGTGGCCTAACATCAATCGGTTTATGATCTCAATTTAAAAATTTGATAATCTCCTTAACCCTTATACTGGTAAGAATACAATTCTCTAATAGATGATATCAATAAACTTCTAATAGAGTTTTGTTCTCTGAGCTAGATCGTTTAATTGTGAGGCTTTCATCGTTATTCTGAACAACATCATCAAGCTTAAATATTGTTTGATTAGAAAATCATTATATCCATCAATCAATGTTATCAATGAGCTAATGATCTATATCTCAAATTAACCGGTTTCATGAATGATCCACTTAAAAAAAAACATGTTGCAAAAGAAATGAAGAAAGTTAGGGGACGACTTTTCAGCGACGCTAGACTGACTTTGAGAGTGACCACCTAATAGTAACGTCCTTTATGTTATACCGTCTTCAAAGCAGCCATGGTAATTTGGAACATCGAAGGAGTAATCCATGTTAGATGCTGACCGCGAGGTGTGACTTCCAAGTTAGCTGGTTCATCATACCATTCCCGTCTAACTCTAATAGATTTGCAATCATTCGACATAGATCATCTACGTTGGTGATCTACAAACAAATGACTAATGCTTTCTGATTTTCACCGACTGTTTAACTAATGTCTATCTACAATCTAATCTGTTTAAACTAAAAATATTCCTTAATTTTCCTAGGTGATCAATTGCCGTTATACTATGCTCATATTTTAAGCTAAATACTTAACTTTTGGTATATTGTAACAATGATATTCACAAGGTATTATTTACTTGTATCTTCCTATTGATGTTTACGACTGCAATTGATCAGTCTCACGCTTATTGGCATATGTGCATCCTGTGCGGATCACTTCGATATAGCTCTTTAAGCAGAGATGGATAGTGGATAGAACTAAAATCCAGTTTGACTCATATTTCGTCTTATTCCGGACTGGTCAGCTGAATGTACCTGCATCTCAAAGTTGATGTTCACTCTGTGACTCGAACTCAGTACCGTTCACTTCAAACGCCATCGCATTATCGACTTAGCTACTGAGTTCTTATAGCCAATTTCATGTGCAATAGGGTAAAGTTTAAATACACTTGATGTTGTTCGCTTGTATCTTCCCATTGTTGTTAAGGACTTCAATTGATCAGTCTCTCTGTTATTTGCAGATGTGTATCCTGTGAAGACTGCCTCGATATACGATTAATTGACATATTGATGTGTAAAAACAAACAGGAAAACAGATAACTTGTTGAAATGTCTAGATGGTAGGAATAGATAGCCCAGATATTCAAGTAGGTTGCCTTGATTACACTTCGATATAATTCATATTCCATTGTTCAACAGCTAATTGATATCAAAATACTTTTCAAATCAAAACAAAGTTGAGATATCAACATTTTACTCATTTTGAACCATTTAATGTTAATTTATCTCAGATTTCTAGTAGAATTGGATTATTTTCTCTTTAACAAAAATGCCCTGGTGCAACCGAAAGTGGGGAGAGTCAGCTCTCCCTCTCGAAATGCTCTCACATGGCCACGTGTATATAGCCTCTGCCAGGGAAGTCCTACTCATTCCTTTCTCGTGGCACTACTGTTGTTTACCAAGTTGAAAGGATGAAAACCGAATGTCCGGGGCTTTAACCGGGTTGGTGGACACAGTGAGTTCACCTAGGGGAGTTGGAAAACCCTGATTCCAAACCAATCGTGCACATAGGCTATAGTATCCTGAAGGAACGAATGGCGTATGAACCGATAACTAGTCACTGGCTACCATGGGACTGTATCTCCTTACGATGCTCCACTGACTTGTGGATTAGACTTTTAGGTTTGAGGCTCCGGTTGTGGCCCCTTAAGAAAACCAGCTAATTCCAACTGGGAACCCGGGCAGTACCATAGCTCACATACGAACCAGGTGACTCGTGCGGCGCACATGTATTCGGTGCCCCTTTGTACCAATATTTATGTGTTCAAATAAAAAAATAAATAAAATAATATTTTTTTATTGAGCTATTAATGTCACAACTTGATAACTATGTATAAGTGTGTTTATTCAATTTACTATAACAAGTAATACACATGCAAAAATTAGTATTATTATTATTTACAAATGTAAGTACAAATTATGCACAAGAAAAATGCTAAAGTCATAATTCTTAATTAGAATCATGATAATTTACTAAACTTTGGTAGTAGTAGTAGTAGTAGTAGTAGTAGTAGTAGTAGTAGTAGTAGTAGTAGTAGTAGTAGTAGTAGTAGTAGTATTAGTAGCGGTAGGATAGTAGTGGTCCTAGTAGTGGTAATATTAATAGTAGTAAAAGTAGTAGTTTTAGTATTGTTACCATTATCATTAAATTTAGATATTTCTTTGCCGATAAACAAAACTGTTTATATTCAAATCATGTAAATCTCATTGAGTTTAAGTGTTTAATTGACTGATACAAAAGAAAAAAAAGGAGAAAGGCACAAATTTCAAGTGATTGATTCTGTCCATGTCCTTCTGTTCAATTGTTACAACAAAATAAAAAGTTGTAAATTATGAACCATACATTTATACATACATATAGATAGATAGATAAGTGGGTAGATAGGTAGAGAGAGAGTGTGTGAGAGAGAGATTACGTTACTTGAATGTAATCATTATATACAAACTATTATGAAAGTGTACTAGAGGTATGATTCGATGACCTATGCTCCATTAGGAGTAACAGACATAAGTAAAGTAAGTAAGTAACTAGAGGTATGATGAAATTGTAAAAAACCTTTTGAAATATAGAAAGAACTTCAAAAATAAAGCAAAAAGCAAAAGAAGAAGAAAAGTAGAAACCATTCGGAATTTCTCTCAACTACAAATGGATATCAATGTGAAGAGAAGAAATCTAAACAAACAAACAAACAAAGGAGACTGTAATTCAGTAGTATGATTACTACTACTCATTTACAAATTTAAGTACTTTGTATAAGCTGCCTTAAATTTATATTCACATTTACAAACTAAAATAAGTCTATATATTCATAAGTTATAATGTAAAGAAATAACAAAATACCCATACCCCCCCCCCGGTATATCTACCACAGTATTTAAGTAGTTTAATGTTGATATTGACAATATGAAAGGTTAATAGTAAGTTTTACCAATGTAAAATGAATTGTGATTTAAGTTAGAATTGGTAACTGATACCTTTTCATAGTGTTTATGATGTTTTATATGATATTAGTGATAGACCGGGATGAAAAAGGCTTTAATAGTTATATGAGTGTTTATATAATGTTATAGATGAATTGTATTGAACTGTTCAGATATGTGTTATTGGTACCGACGACATAAGAAATAGATTATTGGCATCAATTTTACGTCCATTATGTTGTTGTCCAGGTAAACTTGTACCACTACCTCCACTTATGGCTGTACCATCTAATGGACCATTAGTAAATGATCCTGAATTAACTTGTAAACCTGATGTTCCAATAACTGAACCAACTGGAATAGGCATTGTCTGATTTATATGAATACCAGTAGAATGATGACATTCAAGATTTGTTGATGGTGGTTGTGGAAGTAATCGATTATTAGAAATGTAATCATCTTGCCATGTTGTACAATTATTAACACCTAGATTTAATCCATTTGACAATTTAGAATGACTATTACTATTCATCCAAACTTTTGATTGTCCTGTATTCCAACTCATTGTACCTGGATTTGGTAGTGGTGGTGGTGGTGGTGGTGGTGGCGGTGGTGGTGAACGATTTGGTACAAGTACTCCAGTATGACTTAAAACACCAATAGATACTGCTCTTTGATGATGATGATGATGTTTAGAAGTTGTTTTAGATGAACAATGAACTACACGTTTTAAACATAATTGCCATGAATTCACTGTTTTACTAGACCATATCCAAAATCCTGATGTAATACCAATAACAAGTGACATAAAATATTTTAACATAAACACTGCATATTCCGGTTGAACATTTACATATTGTGGTGGATTTAAATGTAATGTAAAACCATGTTTACCTTTGATCATTTGATCATTGAATGATAATGTATGATGATTATCAGGATCATGATCATGATGATCAGGATCTTGATTGATAAATAATGATCTCAATTGATCTAATAGATTCTGATGTGTTAAATCTTTCATATATGATAATGTAATACATGGACAATTATGTCCTTTATTCCATAGATCACGATAATATAATTCATAACAATAACATGCTATAACAATAGTTGCTGGGACAATATACAATACACTAAATATACCAATACGAATCATTAATTTCTCTAATTTATCCGTTTTCAGATGACTACGAGTTTGACATTTAATTTCATTACGTATTTTAAATAAAGCAATAAAACCAGCGAATAAAAAGATTGTACCTAAACTTAAATAAATACACATTGGGATAAGGATAAATATACGTAAATAATATAAATTAATTGAACCAACAGTACATAAACCACTAATTGGATCACCATCAATTGCTGATAAAATCAATATGATGATCGCTTTTGTACCAGGAATAAACCATGCAAAAAAATGATAGATCTAAAAAAAAGAAAATCAATAAGAAAAAAAAAGAAAAAAAAGATCAATTTTAATCATTCAGATCATGAATTAATTGAAACTAGATCAATATGGAAAAGTTGAAAGTCACAATTGATTGATCACTGGGTGATGATCAATGTCATGCGTGTCAAATCCTTATTTAGTTTCCTGTTGACCAGCTTCAACCACTATTTAAAATTTGAAAGTACTAGATGGCTGTTTTGTCTTATTGTAGGATTCATCAACAGTACATATTTGTAATCCTGCCCGTGGGAATCCAATCCAGATGCCTTCAAGCTTTTGATACAATTACTCCAGATCAATATGGAAAACTTGAAAGTACTAGATGGCTGTTTCGTCATATTGTAGGATTCATCAGCAGTATGTATTCGTAATCCTGCTTGTGGGAATCAAACCCAGGAGCCTTCAGTCTTGTAAGTCGTCCAATGTTTTCAGGTTCGCCATGTTGACCTAGCTTCAATAGAAATTACTACAGTTTCTACAAAACCCCTTCAGATTGTGAATAGTCAATTTTTTTATGAAAAGTTCAGAAGAATTACACATCAAAATAAACTTTTATGATTATTTGTATTTTATCACCAATTTTTTCTGTTCTACTTTACAGCTGTGAAACATGGCCATTAAGAGTAGAAGATATTCGTAAGCTACTAGTATTCGATCACAAATGTCTTAGAAATATTGTTTTCATCTTCTTGGATCACCAGGTAAGTAATAGTGAGGTTAGATAAAGGATATTAGAGAATGACGGTAAATTAGTTGATGAGGTTGTAAATCTTCGTCGACTGAAGTGGTTGAGCTAAGTGTTACGTATGCCTGAACAACGATTACCACGACGCGCAATGCTGACTTGTGTGGGAGATGGTTGGAATAAAGTCAGGGGTGGCCAAATCAAAACGTGACATCGTTGCTTGAAGTCACTAACTTCTGGTCTGAGCCATGTTGGTGATGCAAACTGCTTGGTTGGGGTCCGTGTGACTATCGTAATCAATGACTGGAGACTCTTGGTGACGTGGATCAGAAACGATCACAATGCTGTAGATGTATACACTGTTTGTCTTCCGTAAATTATGAGATTAAAATTGTTTAATATCTTTCTGTCTACGAACTAATTCTCTCTTCCTGTACTGTGTCCTGATGTGCAATCTTCCTTTTATACATTACTCCCATTTTTATTGGCTTATCATTAACTTAGACTAAAATCTACAGACTAAGATAATTACCATTCTAAATCAAGTGTGCTAGTGATAACATATTAAAAATGTAAAAACCAGATGACAGTAAATCGTTGATAGTAGTTTATTTTTTGATTAAGATTATGAATCGACTGATGTTAGACCACCATTGAAAACCTGAAGACACTGGACGGTCGTCTGATCCTAGTGTTTGACTCAGTAGTGCTCATCCACGACCCCACTCATGGCGTTCGAACCCAGGACTTTCGGTCTAGCGCGTGAACGCTTAACCTCTAGACCAATCGTCTGGAATACAATGGTTTTAATGTTTAACCTCAACTGATCCGCAAAACTGTGCGACTTGTCTTAACCTGATATGGATTAGCTCCACTGGTGACGGCTTCTTACTAGAACTCCGAGAATTCCCTCACGAAGCTAGTCATTAATGAGCACATGCTAATTATCTGTATGGGGTTTAAATATCGCGAGCGGAATCGTGGATACATATTTCTATGTAATCCCACAATAAGACGAAACGACTGTCCATTACCTCCAGGTTATCAATGGTAGTCAAGCATTCATCGATTCATGATCTCAATCAATCTCAACAACTTCATACTGGTCTATTTTTTCTTAAATTATGATTACTACGATTACTATTTAATCTTAATTTTGGTAAAAATCTCGAATTATTCATGTCATCTCAATGCAATCAAATGTATAGAATAAATATAAACTATAACAATATATTTCTAGGATGCAGTTGGACGATCTGCACTTCGAAGATGATCTGGCCCTCCCATCACAAACGAAACAACAAATGCAGGAGAAGACGAACAGTGTGGCTGCAGCCTCAGCAGCAGTAGTAGGTCTCAATATACACAAAGGGAAAAGCAAGATTCTCCGATATAACACAGCATGCACAAATCCAATCACATCAGACGGAGAAGATTTGAAAGATGAAAAACCTTTACATATTTGGGTAGCATCATTGATGAACGGGGTGGATCTGATGCAGATGTGAAGGCGCAGATCAAAAAAGCAAGAGCAGCACATCTGCAACTGAAGAACATCTGGAACTCAAAACAATTGTCAACCAACACCAAGGTCAGGATTTTCAATACAAATATCAAGACAGTTCTACTGTATGGGGCAGAAACCTGGAGAACCACGAAATCCATTATCCAGAAAATTCAGGTGTTTATTAACAGTTGTCTACGCAAAATACTTCAGATCCATTGGCCAAACACTATTAGCAACAACGTACTGTGGGAGAGAACAAACCAGATCCCAGCGGAGGAAGAAATCAGGAAGAGGCGCTGGAAGTGGATAGGACACATATTGAGGAAAGCACCAAACTGCGTCACAAGACAAGCCCCCACATAGAATCCTCAAGACCAAATGAGGAGGAGAGGAAGACCAAAGAACACATTACGCCGAATAATGGAGACAGACATGAGAAAAATGAGGAAAAGTTGGATAGAACTAGAAAGGAAGGCCGAATGGGACAGAGTGGGTTGTAGAATGCTGATTGGTAGACTATGCTCCATTAGGAGTAACAGGCGTAAGTAAGTAAGTAAGTAAGTATTGCAATATATTGTGTTATTCATCATTTTTTTTAAAAATCAGATTTATTTTCTGGACATTCAAAGTTCCTTCCACGATATAAATTACCAAAAACAAAAAAAGAAAAGAAGAAAAGTTTTGTTGTTATTACCTGAGAATATTTTGCAATGGCTTCAGTGCCCCATTTTAATCCAGCAGCTAAAAACCATGTTAATGTTAATATAACCCACCATATAGATGATGCCATACCAAATATATATGTTAATAAAAATACAATACTACATTGAATAGGTCCAGTTGTATTGATTCTAAGCATTAATCCATTACATGCAATCAATTCATGTCCTATAATAACTCGTATTATATAACCAATTGCAATCATAAAATAACATGTTGATAAATAAATAATTGAACGTTCCGGATATTGAAAACGATTGGAATCCACTAGAAATGTGATCATAATCATTAATGTTGATAGAATACATAATATAGACCATAAACTAAGCCAAAATGTGACAAATGTTTTATCAGATTGATTATTAAATGTTGGATAATAACATGATGGTAAACAATTTTTTATATGACCAGTTATCACTTCATTTAATGGTGGTTTTATCCATTTTATAAATGGATCACGACATTCACATGGTAAACATAAATATGGATTAAATAAATTTTGATTAGATTTAATTGATTTTTTATTGATTTGATTGGATTTTTTATTGATTTTTTGAGAATCTATTTTTGTTGTTAAATATTCATGTAATTGATTCAATGTTTCTGATGGTGGGATATTTGAATCATTGGATAAAGTTGGCTTTATATATAAATGAATTTGTTTGATAAAATTATATAATTCATTATTTAATGATAGGTCTTCACCTTTTCCAAGTATAATATCATTCATCTTATGATCATTATTATTATTATTAGTAGTAGTAGTAGTAATAGTAGTATCTTTATGGATCATTCCAATTTGTTGGTCACCAGAAGGTAAAGATGATGATGACGAGGAGGAGGAGGAGGATGTCACTTTTCTATTGTTTGGTGTATTACTTCGACTAACACATTCATTCTAAGAAAAAAATTTCAAAAAAACTACAGGTCATTACTTTATTAGAGAAGTACTGTGGTGTGTGCTACTTATATCTTGTAGTGTCGGTTATTATGTTAAGCCCATATACTTTATTCTAGCATTCGGACAACTTATTCTATTCATTCAACTTGAGTCACATTCCGACCTTGTTATTTATCCGCTCATCAATCTTGACTGTTTGTATATGAGCCCGGTAGGTGTGTGTACATTTCTTATCCCATTACTCATCACATGTCTGTGTGACTATAAATATTGATTAACGCTTGACTAAAATAGGAGTTGGCTTACCCTCCATCTCCACTGGGTGTCATTTCGCTTCTCTCTATTCTATTCGCTTCATATATGAAATATATGTATTCACAAGTTCATTCTCGTTATTTGACTTATTTAATTCCGTTATTGACTAACGTGATTAAAGTCGATGATTATATACGAAGATAGGCGATATATATATATACTTCAACAACAATCATCATTACAATCTCATTGGAGTCAGATCCACGGGCCACTAAAGTGGAGATCCCTTTCTACAACACCATTCGATCTAAATGACGATTAAATAATGCCCCCCCACAAACTACATAAGTAGTATATAACGATAATCGGGAATAGAATGTTTTTCAGTAGAAGATTGAAAAGAAAAGAATAGGATCAGAAATCAAATGGTATGACAACGTACCAATCATGAAATTGAAGACGATGAACGGAGATTTGCAAAACAAAAACAGTCAAGTTTGAGACAATCGACTGATATTTTGCAAATGAAGTATTTACTGTATGATTCTTAGAGTTTAGTAAAACGTTCTGTAATTTTTGCATCCAAGTACATTCGATGCAGACGAAGACAGCCAGTGTAGCAGCAGTCTCTGCAACAGTAGGCCTCAGTATACACAAAGGGAAAAACAAGGTCCTCAAATTCAAAACAGAGAACAGCAATCCAGTCACTCTTGATGGCGAAACTCTAGAAGATGTAGAATCCTTCACATACCTGGGAACAATGAGGTTCAGATGCAGACGTAAAGGCTAGGACTGGTAAAGCAAGGGTCGCATTCCTACAATTGAAAAACATATGGAACTCAAAACAACTGTCTCTCAACCAATATCAAAGTCACAATCTTTAATACCAACGTCAAGGCAATCAATTCTACTGTACGGAGTTGAAACTTGGAGAACTACAACAACCACAATCAAGAAGGTACAAGTATTTATAAATAGTTGTCTACGCAAGATACTCAACATCCATTAGCCGGATACCATCAATAACAGCCTTCTCTGGAAGAGAACAAATCAACTTCCAACTGAAGAAGAAAATAGGAAAATACGATGGAAATGGATAGAACATACATTACGCAAATCGTCAAACTGCATCACGAGGCAAGTGCTAACCTGGAATTCTGAAGGGAAGCGGAAAAGAGAAGGCAAGAGAACACATTACGTCGGATAATAGAAGCACACATGAAAAGGATCAAGAGGAACTGGAAGGAGCTGTAAAGGATTGCCCAGGACAGTGTGGGGTGGAAAATGCTGGTGAGTGGCCTATGCTCCTTCACGAGGAGTAACAGGCGTAAGTAAGTAAGTAAGTAAGTAAATTCGATTGTCTCCCTCCCCCCTTCTTGTTCACTGCAGTCCAACTTTGCGATTTCTCTTTAATATAAAACATCGATTTGATTATTGAGTTACATAATCAATTTAAGGATCATGTTTATCTATCATACTCTAATTAAAGTAAATGATCACTTTAAGTCATAACTCACACTATAATCAATAATATACTTTTCGTCCTACTTTTTTGCTCATTAGTGACAGTGTCCAAGAGGTATTTCCTGGAGTTCTAGTGAGAAGCTGTGACCAGCGGAGTTTAACCGGTTCTGTTGTGAGATAGTAACTCACTGAAGACAATGGTGGATGTGTCGTTGAGTTTCATGGATTAGTTAAAGTTAGACATTACCACAATTAAATGCCGAACGATTTAGTGTTCTAGTGGTTAAGCACTCGCTCGCGAGACTGAAAAAGTTCTGGGTTTGAATCTTGCGGGATGGGATCCTGCATGCGCACTGCTGAGGAGACCCATATTAGAACGGAACAGTCGTCCAGGTTTTCAATGATGGTCTAGCTCCAATTGACTCACGATTTCAACTATTAAAATTACTATTTTTGCTGTTGAAATTCATCATCTGGATAGATCTATTCCCTAGTTGTTGATAAGTGCAATAACACTAGAGCTAAGTAATTGTCACTATCCATGTTAGTATTTAATCTATCAATTCAATCAATCCAGATAATCTTGATATCCATCTGGTTATTTAATCCATTTAATCCATTTCAATGAATTTGGAAATTTAATTGTTGACATATTAAACCTGAGTTATAGGCTGTTAGTCTGAAGAAGCATCTTAAACTAATTTGCAAAACGTCAGAAATCTAATTTTCCACTCATCAACATATGACAAACATATTATTGATTTAATTATGAATGACAGTATGTTACAAAATGGTTAAGGTCAAGATATATTCAAAGTTATATAACGTTAGCCTAGTTTCAGTAGATGATATCCCTTTGAAATAATTTGGAAAAAAATTTTTTTGTTTTGCAAATCTATAAAGATCTTTCGTTAACAATTCCAAATGTAATTTCAATGGTTAAGAACATGAGTCATTTGAAGCTAGACCACCATGGAAAACTTGGAAGCACTGGACGGCCGTTTCGTCCCATTGTGGGACTCCTCAGCAGTGCACATCAACGACCTCGCCCCCTGCGAGATTCGAACCCAGGACCTACTGGTTTCGTGCGCAAGCACTTAACCACTAGAACACTGAACCGTTCGGCATGTAATTGTGGTAATGTCTAACTTCAACTAACCCACGAAATCGAGCGACACATCCATCATTGCCTTCAGTGAATTACTATCTCACAACAGACCTGGTTGAACTCCACCATTGAAATTACTATAATATCCGCAAAACCCATGTGATATTAATTCCAAATGTATCGGATACCATATAAATGAATAACAAAAATTTAGCGGGGGACAATTCTTTCACAAATTCATTTGAGATGGTGGAGAAGCTCGATGGAGATCAACAAGAGCCAATCAACATCGAGGTCTATAGGACAAGTTGTGAACCATATATGGAGAAATTCGAACAATTCACTTCTACCTGGAGATTGTGCTGATAATGTTGTTCAGAAGAACGATGAAAGCTTCAAGACAAAACCATCTTGATTGGAGAACAAAACTCCATCAAAAACACATTCTTTTACAATGTTTTCTTGGTTTTTTAAGTACCATTGATTATTCTATCTAAATTAATACACTCATAGGTCAATATAATCAAAAAATAAACATCAGGACTCAGTGGAAGAATGCAATAAAATGGACAACTTAGGTGTAACTAGACGATTTGGATTTTGCAGATGACCTAACTATACTATACCAAACACACACACTAAAAAATAAAAGTGAAGATAGACAGTATCGTAACAGCCTCCACAGCAGTAAACTTAAACACACACAAGGCAGCAAGAAGCAACATACATATATACAACACACACAACACTAACACAATCACTCTCTATGCAGAAACTTTGCAAAAGGTGGAAACTATCATGTATCTGGTTAGCATCATCAATCAACAAGGAGCATCCAATGCACACGTAAACGTAAGGATTGACAAAGTGAGAACAACATTCACACACTTGAACAAAATATCCAATTCAAAACAACTGTCTGCAAGCCAATATCAACATCACAATGTTCAATACGAATGTCAACACACTTCTACTGTACAGAACTGAAACGCGCAGAACAATCACAACCATCAAAACCACAAATATGTATAAGTGGTTATAAACAGTTGTCTAAGCAAAATACTCAACACTCGTTGACCGAATACTATCAACAACAGCTTACTGTGAGAGTGAATAAATCAGTTTCCATCTAAATAGGAAATTAGGGAAAGAAGCTACAGTTGTTATATATGACATAGATTGTGGAAATCAACAAACTGCATCAAGAGACAAGCGATAACATGGAACCGTGACGATAAACGAGAAAGAGGAATACAAAGGATCATATTGAGTTGTGAATTGGAATGAGAAATCAAAAGAATAAATAGCAATCGGAAACAACTGTAAAGGAGTGAGGATGTCAAAGTTGATTGTATATTGGTTGTGGATGGCCCAATGCTCCTCCACGAGGGTTAACATTTGTAAGGAAGTAAATAATATTTAGTTAGATCAATAAAAATTTTCTTTTTTTTGATTGAAATCATGAATTGACACTATCACCACTGGATGCTGACCCAGTGGTCCAGTAGGTTAAACGTTCACACTCGAAACCTAAGTCCCTGGGTTCGAATCCCGCAATCGGGATCGTGAATGCGCACTGCTGAGGAGTCTCACAATAGGACGAAACGACCGTCCAGTGCTTCTAGGTTTCCATAGGTGGTCTAATATCAATCGATTCATGTTCTCAATCAAAATCTTAATAATCTCCACAACTCCTATACTAAAACTTTTCTTAATATAAAGATCATCATTCTCAATATTGCTAGATATATATTCTGTTTCATCAAAACGAAGTATGTCTGATTCATTTTTAAGTATTAAAATAACTGAGTCATTTGAATTTATCTTTAGGCTACTTTGTATCCTGCTGTGTAAAGAAAAGAAACAAGCCGTCTAAGAAACGGATACAAACAAAGTGGAAACCTTTTTTCTTTTTTTCTTTTTCTTTTTCTTTGTGTTTCATTCCATTGATGAATAGATCTGTAATTGAATCAATGACTTGTAATTGTAAACAGATTATCACTTGTTATTGTTTACTTGTATCATCTAAATAGAACAAAAACGTACATCTTGGATTCTCTTGATAGTCATTATCTATTTTTTGTTTGTTTTTAAACAGATTTATTCACTTAAATGGTAGAAGTAGTTATAAACATTGATTTACTCGAGATACCCAACATTCAGAGAGAGCCAGTTGAATGTTTTGGACTATTTATGCACGCGACTGCTAGATCTCCCATGTTTCGGAGATGTGAAAGAAACTGATGAGTTAATTTCTCACTTACTGAACTTGAAAATGACTGCAGGACGTATGAAGTAGTTATAAACATTGATTTACTCAAGATACCCAACATTCGTTGTCTGGATACTATTAACAATAGTCTATTGTGAGAGTGAACAAATTAGCTTACATGTGAAGATGAAATTATGAAAAAACTCTGGATATGGATAAGATATACATAACATCTGCTCTTTGTATTCTCCCGAATTCTAATCTTCTAAATTCTTCATGTCTCTTTCCTTTTTTCTCTTTCCAAACTTATTTCACTGGATTATACTCCTTGAATAATATCTCGTTTTTCTTGTCCTCCAAAACAGAGAATTTACGAGGACACTTCAAAAATGTTCAAAAGCCCAGAACAAATTATTTGTCAGCTGACTATCGACTTTTCCATCGAATCATCAACGAGTGGAATTCATTAGTTCAGCACGTAATCGAGGCTCCATCCGTCGACTCTTGGATCGACTGAGAGACCACCATTACCAAGACTAACACAGGCCATCAAGCCTCCTGTCCTTCCCAAACTGAAACTGAAACCCTAATGTTTCCAATTACTGCTTATACTCTTACTACCTCTATCACTATGGGATTTGAATTGATAATGTGGTATGGCAACTTAAATTGATGTACGTACGTATGATGTTCTACATTGTTACTGAATGACTGACTGACTGACTGACTGACTGACTGACTGACTGACTTATTAACCATATAAATGGATAAACATTTCTATCTAATCAGAGAGATTGTTACTATCTAAATTATTCAAGATACTGATAATCCATATAAAAATGGAAATGTTATTATGATTGATACATCGAAACTAATGATTAAGATAGAATTCCACTGATAAATTTGCAATATGGTTATATTATGATAATGAACTATGTTTGATATCATGAAGACAATCAAAATAAGAGATCCATAACATAGATTTCATGTGAAGTAGCTGAAAATAATCGATCAAAGACCCTTAGATTATATTTAGTAATAAGATAAACCTGAAACCTTTAGGGAATTAACTCTTTCCATACCACTTGAATTCATATTACCGAGTTTTATAGTGTAGGATGTTGTCAATGAGTCATTTGAGTTACAGCTGACTTCCTACAGTCACTGATGAATGAATGATATCATGTTTTTCTATTCCTTAACGCTATTTAGACTCTATATAGTGGCTATTTTAGTGGTTACATAGCAAACGGATTGTTAAGATTTGATCAGTACTAAAGACTAGACAAACCTAATATTAATCACCACCTAATTATCAGTCAATTCAAACCTAGAATTCATTGTACGTAAATCATATCAAAATGAAGGTAAACATAATGAGAGCAACATACTTGAAATCTTCAAAATCAAAGGAGAAGAGAAAGAACATTACACCAAGAAATAGAGACAGATATGAGAATAATGAACAAAAAATTGGATAGAACTGGAAAGGAAAGCTCAGGAGAGAGTGCGTTAGAGAATGCTGGTCGGTGGCCTATGCTCCATTGAGAGTAACAGGCGTAAGTAAGTATGTCAGTAAGTAAGAAGTCTTCCATGACTATTCACATTATAAGATGATCCTAGATCCCATTTCTGGAAGATTAAAAAGTGCTAAGATGATACAGTTATTCAGATCTACATGTCTATAAATGTCTTTCCATTATCATTATCATTATTATTATTATTATTATTATTATTATTATTATTATTATTATTATTATTATTATTATTATTACTCTTAATATCTCTATCCAAAATTCTATGTTTAGTACCATATGGAAATCTCTGCATACACTATTTCAACAAGTTTCGCTTAATCTTCTTATATCATAAGGTAACAATCGTAAACTGTTTGTACATGTACATGAAATGAGTAACTCATGTATCTGGAATGATATGAAATGTCTTCTTGTTTAGTAAAACAAGAATCAGTATAACCTTTAATTAGCAACATGTTTAAAGGTACAGGCTATTGGCTAGGTCAGCTCTTACACGCTTGTGTATTTACAAGATAAGGTATTGCAGAGCTTTGCTTAAATGCATAGATTCCAATGTATTGTCGTTTCGTTCTATCAGAAGATATCAAAGAAAAAAAAGATGTAAATGAAGTTGATGGTTGGTATCTACTAAGTTAACACCTATCAGCTAATTTCACTCAGCGAAGGAAAAAAACCTCAGCTTATAACAAAATATGCTCATGTTAATAAACGGACAAACTATTTAGGCTACAATTACTAAACTTGAACACATAAGCAAAGGTACAAGAAGGCACCGAATAGATATGCGCCACATAAATCGAATGATTTATGTGGGATACTTCCCGGGTGCCCAAATGGAATCAGGTGGTTTTCTTAGAGAACCGCACCCGAAGCCTTTGATTAAAAGGTCTGATCCACAAGGCAATGAGGCAACGTCAGGAGATGTAGTCCCATGGTAGCTGGTGACCTACGATTGATTCACAAGCCATTTGTTCCTTCAGGATCCTGGAGTTCATGTGCACCATTTGTTTGGAATCAGGGTTTCCCACCTCCCCTAGGTGAACTCTCCGTGTCCAAAAACCTGGTTAAAGCACCGAACATTCGCTTTTTGTCCTCTCAATTTCATAAGCAACAATAGTTTCTCGAGAAGGTAATAAGTAGGACTTCCTTGGCAGTGGTTGTGTGCATGTGGCCATGTGAATGCATTTCGAAAGGAAAAGCTGACTCTCCCGACTCTTGGTTGTACCAGACCATTTGGGGGCCGGCCTAATCCAAAGTAATTGCTGAGCAATAATAAACAAAATGTATTATGACGTAATACTATTTTTTTAAGAAAAAAAAAGTTAATCTACTTACTCCTTCTGGTAGAAGATCACAATTCATCCTTTCAGGCCAACCAAATCCATAAGTACGCATAACTGGCATACATCCATCACGTGCACTTTCACATAATGATTTGCATGCAGTTAAACGATAATGCCAATTTGGTAAACAAATTGGTGTATACATACTACATAAAAATAATCTTAAATCATCTGAACAATTAATTTCAACCAAAGGATAGAATTGATGAACCTTTTAAAATAAAAAAAAGAAAATAACATTCGAAAATATCATGTTGTAATGGTTAAAATTATTGATTCAGATCATGAATTGATCAATGTTAAACAACCATTGGAAACCCGAAAGCACTAGACGGTTGCTTCATCCTAGTAATGGGATCCCTCATCAATGATTATCGATGATCCCACACAGGAAACTTGAACCCAGGATATTTAGTCTTGCACGTGAACACTTCTAGACAACTGTGCCAGTATCCAACAGTGTTTAATTTCAAACAATCTATGACATTACGCGACCATCTTCCATTGTCTATAGTTGATAACTGTCTCACACTCAACATAGATTAGTTACACTAGCTATGACTTCTCAATAGAACTCCGAAAATTACTTCCCGAAGCTAATAGCTAATCAGCACATGATAATTATCAGTGATGTTGCAGAGACTGATATTAACAAAGGGAACTAATATTTCAATATTTTAATGACCTCAGAACCAACACTAATGAAGAGTCATTTTGTTTAATTATAACGAGTCGTCAGTAATTCTCTAGTTAATCTCAATTAACATACTTCTATAAACATTAATCTAAACAAAAAGAAACTGTAAACTCTGATTGAAGATTATGTACATTAAACCACAGCCGATAACTTCAAATTTCACACACACACACACAAACACTTTCTAGTGCTCATATTTAGCTATCAGAATACTATGAAACTCAATAGAATTAAAGAAAACATATTTGACAGGGGTTTTCATGGATATTATGGTAATGTTAATAGTTGAGATGATGGGTCGATTGAAGCTAGACCACCATGAAAAACCTGAAAGCACTGGATGGCTGTGGATTGGTTGAAGTTAGACATAATACCGTTGGATGCCGGCTCAGTGGTCGAGTGTTTAAACGCTCGCCCGCGAGACTGATAGGTTATTAGTTTGAATCTTGCAAGGCGGTATCGTGCATGAGCACTGCTGAGGAGTCCCATACTAGGACAAAATGGCCATGCAGTGATTCCAGGTTTTTCATGGTGATCTAGCTTCAATGGACTTATGAATTTAACCATCAAATTTTACGTGAGATCAGACTGCTTGTCTACAATCGCAAACGACAGAGGTAAAAAGAAATACTTCACATTCATTTTCGTATCGATTATTTTAATTTTCCCATTGATGTTTAGAACTACAACTTGTCAGTCACTTATTGGCATGTATGCATCTTGAGCGGATTGCCTCCATTTAGTCTTAATTTACAAGTATTATAAGCTGAGATGATAGTGGCTAACAGTGGAATCCAGGATGAGCGTTTCAGCTTGCATCCCATAGTCCCGGAGTGAACATCAATTCTGGGGTGTGATGAGTCTCAAATAGAATAAAACGTGTATCCTAGATCCCACTGTTAGCCACTATCCATGTCATATTTGTATCAATTTTGTTGATGTAGCATGGTCTATGATTAATTTGAATATTATGCCTCTGATGGTGTGAAATTTTTCCTTAAAAAATTACTCAGACAAATAACAGATTTCCATGAACTATAAAAACAGTAATTAAACGTTACATAGAGGTTTAAATTTTCTGTCCATCGATATTCTATAGTGATCTATTTGTAACCTTAATGCATTACCTCCATAATACTTTCGGTCACAATTTCGTAAAATTGTTTTGTGCCCTAGTCGTATATGCTACACACCAGCTGAGTTAGCATGATCCCCAGTGTTGATGTTCACACTAAGACTCGAACTTACTGTCAATATCATTATTAGATAATGCATTATAATACATTATAATTATAGGTAGTCTGATTTCAATAAGAACTTGTAGATAGAATTCAAGTTAAAACGTGTTGATACTAAGAAGAAATATTCATGAAGAGGAAGTTACCCCTTCAAAGGCAATGGAAGATGGTCGTGTAATATCGCAGATTGATTGAAGTTAGACATTAACAATGTTGAATGCCTATTCAGTGGTCTAGAAGTTAAAAGTTCGCGCGTGAGACCGAAGGTCCCGTAATCAATTACTACACCCAAGACCGTAGATACGCACAGATGATTAGTTCCACACTAGGATGAGATGGCCATTCAGTACTTTCAGGTTTTCAATAGTTGTCTAGCATTGATCGATTCATGATCTTAATGAAACTCAACAATCTCCACTAACCTATACTTGGAAAGATGAATAGATTTCGATAAGAAATATTCATATTATTATCAATATTAATTGAATAATTGTCATTGATTATAGTAAACTATCAATCTAAGCATCGATAAATCTACTCGATGTAACAAAGTATGATTGAATTCAATGAAAGAATTAAAACATTCATCTTTTACAATTGGTCATAGTCATAGTTATTGTATTAATGGTAATAGAAGTTTATAAAGAATCCAATCTAGAGAGCACATATGTGCCATTCCGAATATTCAGAATACTTCATGTTTATTTACTCTGATAAAAGCCATGACCATATGTAATTAGTTAGTTAATTAGTTAGTTATTCTGTTAATCAGTTTTCATACATATGTCTTTGTTTATGCAGATGACTTTTCTATGTATATTTATGTTAATCCGTATACATTCCATGTGTGGTTTATGGACAAACATTTGTAACTATCGGATGAACACTTTTCTAAAAAACTACATTCTTCAAATTGTATTTTGGTATGTTACATTCTCCCTCTTAGTGAACATATACCTTTAGGGCACACCCTCCCCCCTCCCCCCCAAAAAAAACAGAAAAGGCAGGTAGTGTAGACAGAAATACTTGAAGATCATGGTGTGGTTATTGTTGTTATTACTGTAATCAGTACAATAGTAGATATAATGCAAAGAATACATTAGAAAAAGGAGTATTTCAACATACGTTTATACTTTAAACCTTTAATTGGTCTAGAGATTGTATCAACTTTCGAATGAATCAATTAATGATTACAATTGGTGAGTAATGTAACTAATTTGTTTTGCCGTGCACTACTCTACGGTTACGTTACTCTAATGAATGCATTTGATTTATGGTAATTCTGAAATATATATTTCACGATTAGAACATGTTGTGAAGTAGCTCATATAGCAGTATTTTCGTCATAAACAATGACTGTTACCACTCGTGAAGAAAGGATAGGGCCATCCACAACCAATATACAATCAACTTTGACATCCTCACTCCTTTACAGTTGTTTCAGATTGCTATCCATTCTTTTGATTTCTCAGTCCAATTCACAACTCAATATGTTCCTTTGTATTCCTCTTTCGCGTTCATCGTCACAGTTCCATGTTATCGCTTGTCTCTTGATGCAGTTTGTTGATTTCCACAATCTATGTCATACATAACAACTGTGGCTTCTTTCACTATTTTTCTCTTCAGATGGAAACTGATTTATTCACTCTCACAGTAAGCTGTTGTTGATAGTATTCGGTCAACGGATGTTGAGTATTCGGCTTAGACAACTGTTTATAACCACTCATACATGTTTGTGGTTTTGATTGTTCTGCGCGTTTCAGTTCTGTACAGTAGAAGTGTGTTGACATTCGTATTGAACATTGTGATGTTGATATTGGCTTGCAGACAGTTGTTTTGAATTGGATATTTTGTTCAAGTGTCTGAATGTTGTTCTCACTTTGTCAATCGTTATCTTTACGTGTGCATCGGATGCTCATTGTTAATCGATGATAACTTTCCAATCTGATGTTGAGTATCTGTAAAGAACGCTAACAATCTAAACCAAACTGAGATTCTAGATATCTTAAGGTTGATAATTTTCAACTATTACACATCAAATTTAAATACTTTCCGATAGTGACTAATTTATCTCACTATTGAAGAAGTACCATTGCATAAGTAAACTTTTGTTAATCCGGAGTAGTAGTTATATAATATACCATTGTAAACCAGGGTAATTTTACATCGGTTTTCAGAAGGACTAGACACCATCCAGACTTTCACTTGACAACCCAAACAGTACAGCCCAGTCCCGCTTCACAGGAGAGCCAGACACCGTATAGGCTTAAACGCTACAATCTGAATAGTACAACTCAATCCTGTGGCGCAACCACACAGGTACCAAGCACCCTGGTGGACCATTCGCACCATTCATATACACATCCGCATCACATGTACAGTTATTCCGATCAATAATCTCGTGAGTTAATTATGCACAGCACGAACAGGCCAAACTTGACCTATTCCGCTTACACGACAGTCAAACTCATTAATGTTAACAATGGCAACATGCTTTACAATATCCTAATAATCACCAGTGTATGAATGAAATCGGTTAACTAGTAAATCAATTTTGTGCTTGGACAGTCAACAAAACTTGCCAAAATAATGTCGAACCATTTACAATATCAATAGCGAACCTCCAGTTTCATATTGAAACCTTTAGATCTACATAGTTATCATCAATCCCGATTAATACATATATATCAAATGACAATCAGAAAAATCATGCACAAACATAAGAACAAAAATCAAAACAATAGGAAACACAAGCAAAACAAAGAAGTAAACAATGACGAATTTAAGGTCAATAAGAACCAATCAACATCGAGGTGTACAGAACAAACTGTGAAACGCATATGGAGAAATTCAAACACTTCACTTCGATTTGAAGTTTGTGCTGATGATGTCGTTCAGAAGAATGATGAAAGCTTCACGACTAAACCATCCAGCTCAGAGAACAAAACTCCATCAAAATGACAATTTAGCTAACAGTCACAATGATCTACATAATCATTCAGTTTATGAAATTTATCCTGGGTTCGAGCTCCGCGTGGTGCGGGATCGTGGATGCGCACTGCTGAGGAGTCCCATATTAGGACGAAACGGTCGTCCAGTGCTACCAGGTTTTCAATGGTGGTCTAGCTTCAACTGACTCATGATTTCAATCTGTGAAAATTTCTCCACAAACCCCTTCTGATAAATATTTAATTTCAAATTATAATTACTTTCAACTATCTTATTCTTCTCCTTTTTGCTACTTCATCTTCTTTTAGAATCTCTTTAGAAACAAAC